TAGGCAATTACTTTTCCTGAAAATCATTTTCTTTCCACCCATTTTCCACCATCGCAATCAAACGCACCCATAGTTAACGTGATTTTCGATGCCAAGTATAAATATTAGCTTAGAATACACATATATTTTCAAAAGTTTTGCTCATCAATTTAAAGCTCACCGGTTTTCGGCTTTTGTCGCTCCATCCATATATGTTCTCCAAATTTGCATTGAAATATGTTCTATAGGACTTCAATTTTGTCAATTAGTGGGGTGGGATAGTGTGGATGGAGGATGAATCTTTCCCCCCCTTTTTTTATTCTTTTATTTTATTTATTTAAAGATAACAACAAAATTGTCCTTTAGGATGAACCACATTAATTATTATAAAATAAAAATTGAAGACAAGATTACTACGAGGCTCAAAAGTTCGAGACATTGTTGTAATTTACCTTAAAACGTAAAAGACGAGGGTAGTCTTAAGCATTTAAATCGAAATCGAACCGAAATCGAATGTTAGTCTAGAGCATGTTTGAACCCTATTTTTATAAAAGAACTCATTTTGGAATAATATATTAATAGAGAATGTGTGGTTAGAAAATAAGGAAAATATTTGGATTTGCAATTCAAGTTTTTTGTTTTCTTACATTATTTTGCAAACTTAAGTGGTTTTTCAATTTTTTTTTTTTTTTTTTGGTCTGAAATTGTGTTATTTCTTTCATTAAAGGGATTTTGAGCTTTCTTAATTGCAAACAGAGAAGATAAATTTGAAGAATATTATGATTATATGCTTCTTTTTTTCCAAATGTCAAGTTTTTCTTTATAAGGACTGTAATGGAAAGACATTGACATGTATATAGATTAAATGTTCTATGACCATGTATTATTATGTTGGATAAAAATTTAATGAACTTTCACAATAATTTAGCTTTTATTTCTTGATACTATATAGTTATGTTGTAGTTACTATTTTTTATATCAGTTTGCTTTAAAATAAAAGAATTTAAGTATTATTCATAATTAAATTATAGATTTTAGCATACATCATTTATGGATTGAATAAGATTTATAAGGAAAAAAAATTATTTCTTCTCAAACTGTAATTTAATTTTTGATACTTTAATTTTGTCATCTACCATTTTGAGTCATGTAGTTAAATTTTTTAGCTTATTGAGGATTTCTTAGCTAGATTTTGTCCCTTGCACAAATATTCGAGTAGTAGCCTGTTGGCATACATATCGAAATGGCCTATATGGAAATGTTATTCAATTTAAATATAAAAAAATGTTATTGGTGGAACGGAACCCAAACCGAAACCGATAGTTTCGATTTGGGTTTGATTCCATAATTACAAGGACTCGAAATTTATGAAATATTTGAAGTATAACCGGTGATTTTGAGTATTGAGATATTTAAACCGACTCATTGGATGCCTAGGCCTAGACTAGGGTGTAAGCAAAAATGATACTTTGTATTTTTATTTTTTTAATTCTTGTTTCATTCAAAATATTCTTATTGCAAAAGGAGTTCCAAACTTTTAAACTAATCTAATTGGTACTACTAAATCCAGATCGATTTTATAGGTCAAAACAACTCCAATTATATAAAATTCACTTCGAAATTAAACTTTCATCATAACAAATTGGAAGGAGTGTTTGGCATATAGAAGTTACAACTGCAACTGTGCAACTATCTGAAAACTTTAAACATATTAATACGAAAAACAATAGTCGAACTTTTTATTTTCACCTCTCGAACATTTTATTTTCATTCGTAATTCAAATTGCAAGAGATTTGCAACTTAACACGTCGTCCCAAATTATCTCGCCATCGTCAGATTTCAATCTCGGAACAGAGGTACTCACCAATACACCATCCATATATATAGCATCTTCGACATCAAACATCACTGTGCCAAGTCCCTTTCCAATAACAAAAACTTTAGTTCCAATTGCCACGAGTCGACAAGGTGGCCTCGTGAGTATAGGCGACAATCTCGTAACTGCCGTCCACTCCCGAATATCGTCCAGCCACATCATCAGCCTAATACCCGAAGATTGGTCCAGTACATACAACACGCCATTTATAACAACTGCTGGACCCCTCCAACCGCAAGCCATGTCAGCATCGACATGCTGCCACGTGCCATTTGATGGATCATATACAACTGCATACACATCAGAAGAAACAGAAGAGTAGGCACAGCGTATATAAATTTTTCCATTAAAGACTACTGAATCTTCAATATCTGGAAGGATGTCCGGGTATATGGAAGAACTCCAAGAATCAGTAAGGGGGTTATAGGTGTCCCAGGAATGTGGATTGCTCGAGTTTGATCCAATCCCGCCAATTGCATAGATTTTCCCATCCAAAGCCTCATAAGCAAAAAAGGACCTGAGCATGACAAGAAACTCCAGATCAGCACGAAGTTTTTGCTATTGAACTATAAATACACCATAAGTTGATATATCTTTCAAGTATTCAGGAAGACCCAAAGGGGACCAAGGGTGTGATTGGCCGTGCTTAAAAGAAAGTCAAAAACTTACTTTCAAGTTAACTATTTTGCCAAACATGATTTCTAAAGTTACTTTACTAACAAAACTGACTTCAAATCCAAACGCACAACAACTCCACTTACAGTAACCATATGTGAGAGGCAGGAGATTTGATCACCAAAATAAGTAATAGATGATATTCTTCCGAAAGCAACACGGTTATCTAACAAGATATAAGCGAAAGAAAACAATGACCACAATCGTCTAGCAAGACCGAGTGCTTATAACGACAAATGACCAATGTTGTGAGGGAAAAAAAAAACAATGAGGTAAATGGAGTTTCGATGGAGTTTTTATGTCATTAGCAAAACAAAAAATTTGCATGAAGTATATGAAGTCAAAAAGGTGATATGATCCACAGCTCTAAGGTAAGAATAATGCTGCACAAATTTATACACACTGTAGCAGCGAAAGTGAGAATAACCAAGCCGTGCCTTTTTCATCACGGGTGAATCCAATAGTGAGTTTTAAAATGCCAAAGATTATTATAGCATGAAAACACAATATTCTCAACAGTGACAACGTACGAACCATGTTTAAATAAAAGTTAGTAAAAAGCATTCGGGATGAAAATACATTGCATGCATAAAGATAATTAGTTATTAGTTCACGAAAGGCGCTATGATCCACAGCTCTAATGTAAAAGTAATGATGCACACTGTGTAGTTAAAAAAAGAAAAGAAACTTAAGCGAGAATAACCAAGCCATGCCACCGTTCATCACAGGTTAATCCAATAGTGAATCTTAAAATGACAAAGATTATTGTAGAATGAAAACACAAATTCTCAACGATGGCAAAATACAAACCATATTTAAACAAAAGTTAGCTAAAAGCACGTGGGAATAGAGATGCGAAAATACATTGTATGCATAAAGATAATTAGTTATTTGCTCACGAAAGTTTAAACAGCAGCGTGAGCTGCACACGAGTGAGATTACAAATAAAATCAATCACCTTGCAATGGATAAAGGGGCTGTTGTATTCCACGTGTTCATGGAAGCATCATAACAATAGACTTCGTCAGTAGCCTCTTCAATCCAACCACAACCACCAAACAGGTAGAGTTTCTTTCCCAACACTTCAAACCCTACTCCATTCCTCCTAAGGCACCGGCTCGGAAGATCTTGAATTCGCTTCCAACCCCTTTGCAATTGGTTACTGTCTAACACATAGCAGTGTAGTTGATCCGACTTGTCTCTGCACAAAGCGTAAATCCAAGTCTCTTCCAAACAATTATTTCGGCGGTACAAATGCAGCTCATTACTACACACCAATTCTCTCCATCTCTTTGAAACACAGTTGAGAATTGGATGGTACTTCCGAGGAACTCTTGCAAAACAGAAAAGGGCTACATCATCAGGAAGCCCCGGTATTAGAGCATCTTGCTCAGAATCTAATTGACTCCCAGATCCATGCTCCATGGAATCCATAATTGAGATGCTAAATTGGAGATAAATATCAAAATAATTAGGATCTCATTTTCAAAAAAAATAAAAAAATCTCAGAGATGCAATATCATTTCAAGTAGGAGGTGAAGACAGTCTCAGTTTCGTATTCATCTACATAATGTTTAAAACCCTTTGATTGGCTATTTTAATAGAATTCATAATAGCAAATACTGAAAATGTTAAGCATTAAAATAAAACAAAATCAGACCATTTTAAGAACTAAAAAGAAAACATAAAATCAAGGCCATTACAAGCTTAAGAAAACGCAGCAATCCAGAGTTACGTGGAATCAGGTCAATTCTTCCAACCCTAACTATTTTACATCCAATTAGGAATAGCTTAACGCAAATCTTGAGCGTTCAATATCAAACGAAAAAATTTCAATTAGGGAATTAGCAATTTTTCAACGATAAATTCATAATGTCGATAAAAACTTGCAGTAAACAGATAATAATAGCAATCTGAAGAGAGTATCTTTATATTGTTTCTAACAATAATGAAAAGAGTTAATCTTCCAATTTTACTTTTTCTGAGATTGATCCATAAAAAAGCTAAAATTTTATCAATTCAAAAAATGCAATTTAGATGAAAGTAGAAACCCCATTCATAGAAACTCGTTCAAATAAAAACCTTCTTTTCTTGTACAAACATACAGATAATATGAAAATAATTCAGATAAACTTTAAAAATAAGAAAAATGAAAGAATCACCGGGAACTGACCTTTTGAGAAATCGGGTTTCAAAATTCAGATCTGTTTCTCAGTAAAAGTATATATAAAGTAAAAGAAATGGAGAAAATCAAGCAATAATTTGGTGTTATGAACAAGTTTCTGCCTTATTGCCTATTGGGGGTCATTTTGACAATTTACCAATCTTGACAAGGTAGAAAGAATGATATTACTACATTCCATACGAGGCAATTAGAAGTGCTAGGGGTGTCAAGTGGAACAAATCATTCATCATCTTGACTCGTCCCACTAACAAGTTCAGCGATAAATCATTTGTTTTAATTGCTCGTTGGTTCACACTAGTTGACTCGCGAGGTGGACGAATCAACTCGCCTCAAGCTTTAGCTATAAAATATAATTATTGGTAAAGAGAGGCGAGTGGCTCGTGGCCCGTGGCAAGTCCAACTTCCTTGGGACGAGTTGGCTTGCGCTTTCATCGACTAACTTGACTTAATCCATTAATGTCCCAATGCATAATTCAGACATTACATATAAATTGAATGAGCCATAACAAATTGATTTTCAACACCGCTCGAATTCATGCCTGCCACGTTTGAAAATTATTGGATCCAACCAGCATGGCTCGTGACGATTAGGTCACTTGTTTGTAAAGAAAAAAAATTATAAGTAGATGTTGACATATATTGACGCTACATTATAATTAGATGAAAATTTCATAACCTTATTTAGAGTGTGTTTGGTAGGGATTTTTGAGGAAAGNGGAAGAATTGATTTTTGAATAGTGATTTGATGAGAAATGTGTGGTTGAAAAAGAAGAAAAAAGTATTGATGTGATGAAAAATATTATTTTATTGAAGAATGTGTGGTTGAAAATGAGAATTGATTTACTGTAGAAAATGAAAATATGTACCAAACATACCCTTATTATTATACTTATATTTTTAAAATTTTATGTTATAATTACTGATATGGTCGATTATAAGTTCCCGAGGCATATATCTGTGCTACATTTACCGTGCCATGTCTCGAGGACTCCACAGTCGACCGTCCTCGAGGAACCCGAACCAAGCACATCTCGAGGACTTCACCCAGTCGTATTTCGTGCCCTAGTACTATAGTCCTCGGGGTCTTCCGTAGTCCTCGGGATATATGCGTCCTCATGCTGTGTATCAATAAGGCCTCGAGGCTTTACTACCAAGTCCTCGAGATATTGTCCTCCGCCATATATCAGCGCTCAATAGGAAGGTAGATCCGACCCCACTAAGGATTATCCTAAAAACAAATTCTGGTAGGACTCTCATGGATAAGAGCGTTAGATCAACTACAGCCCTATCAGAATTGAACTACACAGTCCTACTAGGACTTTACCACCTAACTCTATAAATACGAGCACTTAATTCAATATTCAGGTACGTTCAACATTGTTTTACAGCATATAGCCTTACGCATAAAATTCCCTATCTAACTTAAGTATCGGAGGGGTGACGAGGTCATACCTCACCGCCTTTGTTTTAAAGCTACACTATGGTGGTTTATTATTCGCCTAGTTGAGTGATTTTGTGTATGAGCATGGGAAGGTAGCATATCTGGACTATGTCAACCCTGATTACTTTAACAAATTTCTTCTAGACAATGCATTGAAGATGTTGGGATATGTTGAGAGAATGAGATATCTTTATAAGGTTGAAAAGAGAAGATTCAATGAGGCATCATTTTGGCTGGTGAGGGATTCCGACTTCATGAATGTAGTCAAGTTGCTTGGTAGGAAGCGGATTGTGGAGTTGTGGTGTTTGCCTGTGGTTGATGTGTTAGAATTGCCATGGGATGACAAAGTAGGGCATGATATTTCAGTTGTTGATGTTGAGACAGGTGAGGTTTTGCAGGAAGTGAAGGAAAATGGGGAATTAGATGTTGTAGGACAAGTTCAGCAGACAGCATGCTATGCTGTGGAGGTGTACAATGAATACATACAGGGTGACAACTCGTATGTTGTGGATGAAGTTGAGAGTGCCAGTGAAAGTGGTGAAATGGAAGTGGCCACAGATGTTGATTGGTCTGAGTACATTGATGAGCTTAATGTTGATTGGTCTGAGCACATTGCTGTGGTGCCTGATGTGGTCCCCCCTGCTGATGAAACTTTGGAGACTGATGTGGTGCCACCTTTTTTTGAAGATCTTGGTGGCCATCCTGATGCTCAAAATGTGGAGCCTAATGTGGTCCCCCCTGCTGATGATACTTTGGAGACTGATATGCCACCTTTTTTTGAAGATATTGGGGGCCATCCTGATGCTCAAAATGTGGAGCCTAATGCGGTGCCCCCTCCTGTAGAAGAAACTGTGGACACCCCTGATGCTGAAAATGTGGAACCTGATGCGGTGTCCCCTGCTGTAGAAGAAAATGTGGAACCTGATGCGGTGTCCCCTGCTGGTGGAGAATATGAGTTTGAAGAGGGAATGGTTGAGGAGTTCAGTGATCCAGATTATGATCAACCTGAGGATGCAGCTGCAGATGACAGTGAAGAAGATGTGTTCTTCAAGCTGACTGAACGTCTGGATATTGGTGTAGATGGTGATGAAAATCAGGATAAAGCAGGCGGTGATGATGGAACAGATTATGAGGACTCAGATGATCTCAGAAGCATTCATAGTGATCCTGAAGAAGGTGACTCAAGCACTAGGAATGATCTTTGGTTTAACCCTGCGAATGACATGCAAGATCCCAAATTCCAGATAGGTAAACATCTCATTCAACTTCGAACATGTCTTTTTCTGCAATAATGGGATACCTTAGACAATTGATAAGATGTAATCTATGCAGGAATGAAGTTTGACAACATAAAGACTCTCAGGGATGCGGTGGTACAATATTCAGTGAAGAATGCTAGGGACATCAAATATGTGAAGAATGAAGGAACTAGGCTCAGAGTGAGGTGTGTGCACAACTGTCCATGGGAGTTGTATGCCTACCAGCAGCCTGATAAAAGCTTTAGGATTAATACATTCAAGGATGAACACACATGCACAATGGTGTGGCAAAACAAAAGAGTGCATTCTGGGTTCCTGGCAAAGAAGTACATACGCAAGTTCAGATCAGATCCAAATTTGTCGATGAACAGCTTCATTGAGACGGTAAAGGAAGAATGCATGTATGAGATATCGAAGCATCAATTTTATAGGACAAGGGCGAAATGTTTAGATGTTATCAATGGTCTTGTATCAGAGCAGTATAAGATACTGTGGGACTATGGTGAGGAGCTCAAACGTACAAATCCCGGAAGTACAGTTCAGATTGAAGGTTCAGGGCCTACATTCAAGAGATGTTACATATGCTTAGGGGCAGTGAAAGAAGGTTTCAGGGCTGGGTGTAGGCCTGTGATTGGTTTGGACGGATGCTTCCTAAAGAGTGATCAAGGGTGGCAGTTGTCAGGTGCAATTGTAATTTATGGGGAGAACTGCATGTTCCCGGTTGCATGGGCTGTGGTGGATTCTGAGAACAGAAGTAATTGGGAATGGTTCATTCAGCTTCTGACAGATGACATTGGGATGTACAATAGCAGAGCATGGACCTTCATATCTGATAAACAGAAGGGATTGGTAGACTCCCTTAACCGGTTCTGTGAAGGTGCTGAGCACAGGTGCTGTGCAAGACACTTGTACAGCAACCTCACATTGATACATAAAGGCCTCACTCTGAAGACTCTGTTCTGGGCTGCAGCTAGGGCAACTACTGTGCCAGAGTGGAGGACTGCAATGAATGAGATGAAGAATTTGAATGAAGATGCCTTCAATTGGTTCAATGATAAACCTGCCTCGCAATGGACCAGATCACATTTTGAGGAGCATTCAAGGTGTGATATCTTGCTTAATAACTTGTGTGAGGCCTTCAACTCTTCCATAGTTGTTGCAAGAGAAAAGCCTATTATCTCGTTGTTGGAAAAGATTAGGCATCAGCTCATGATGAGGATGACAACAAAAAGGGAAGCAGCAAAAAGATGGGATCATGCATTTGGTCCAAGAATTATGAACATAATTGAGAAATACAAGGCAGATGCAAGATATTTGAAGGCAGATTATGCTGGTATGCAAAAGTTTGAGGTTAGCAACAGAGATGGAATGAGATGGAGTGTCGACTTGGCAAAACGGGAATGTGCTTGTCGAAAATGGCAACTATCTGGAATCCCATGTGCACATGCAATCTCCGGTATGCTTTCAAGGAACATTGGCATATACGAATACGTTGATGCATGTTACACCAAAGAAGCCTATATCAGAACCTACAACCCAGTCATCCAACCAATGTCCAGTCCTGATTTATGGCCAGAGCTTGGTAGACATCCTCTTGATCCACCAAAAAAAAGGAAACAGGCAGGCAGACCAAAGAAGATGAGGAAACGGTCCCAGGTTGAGCCACCTGCGGGAACTAAAATTGGAAGAACGGGTATGAAAATGACATGTAGGAAATGTGGGGGAACAGGCCATAACAAGAGAACATGCACAACTGTCCAGCCTGCAGATGCCAGCTCCCAGCCAGGTTCAATAGCAGATGCTGATTCGCAATCACAGCCTATGAAATCACAAGGCAAGAGAAAAACTCCCACATCCAGCCAGGCAGAGACACGGGCAAAGAATAAGGGGAAGGAAAAAAGAACCTAGTTTCACTGATGTCTGTTCATAGATTAGATTGGTTCTGTACTGTCCTAGATCTTTTGCATGGAACTTTTGCTTGTGATGTGTTGACATGTTAGACCCATTTTGTAATGTCCACATTCTGTTGTATGGGACTTTTGATGGTGAAAATGAATGTTTAGCATTTCAGTCATTTAATTCACTGTTATACTTCCCATGTACTGTTTTGTTTTGTCGAGTTGACCTACATAAGGTCACATCTTTGTACACAACGTTCTGAAAACGATAAGGACCTAAACTGCAACTCATTCATATGTATGGGACTGGACCTTTGCTGCAATTATCCCTACTTTTAATTATGTATTTTATGTTTATTTTTTTAACAAAATTTATTCTAAAAAAATTCTACCAATATGGGCTTATAAGCCCATTAAGCGTCCAATACCCTCTAATTTTGCTTTTCGGAGATTGTTTACATTTTACGTACATAATCGTAACCGGCAAAAAGTACTTTCGCTGCAACGCTCTTGGAGCCGGCTTTGAAAGAAATCTGGCGGAGACCTCTTTGCGTATGTCAAATGTACCTCGTTTTCATTATGCGTACAAACTGTTTGACAAAATCTCCAAAAGACAATCGTTTCTTCAAACCTCAACGAATTGCCTATATCACATTGCTTCCCAGCAAAGAAACTCACGTACCGCTGTCCCAGTTGATTCTTTTGACCAAAGCGAGTATACAATATCATGGACGTCAAAAATATCGAGTTTGTTGAGGAAAAATCGACCTCAGGAGGCAATTGGTATGTTCAAAACAATGCTTGTGAACAATCAAAGACCAAATTTTGTGACAATATTAAGCGTGATCAAAGTGATCAGCGAAATAGGTTTGAGAGGTATGGCTTGTGTTATTCATGGGTTTGCAATAAAGATGGGGTTTGTGGGGCTGGAAGTATCGGTTGTCACGGCGCTTGTTGGTGTTTACTCGGCTTGGGATATGAGGATTGCGTGGAAACTGTTTGAAGAAACGCCTAATAAAGATGTCGTCTTGTGGAGCGCAATGGTTTCGGCTTTTGTGAAGAATGAGGACTATGTTGAAGCGTTTGAGTTATTCAAGAAAATGCAGTTTTGGGGTCTGCAGCCGAACCATGTGACCGTTGTTAGTATACTACCGGCCTGTGCTGATCTTGGTGTTATAAAATTTGGAAAAGAACTACATGGTTTTTCCATTAAGAGAGCGATTTATTCTCATACGAATCTGCAGAATTCGCTTGTGGACATGTATGGCAAGTGTGGGAATTTGAAGGCATCATATCTGATCTTTAATAGGATGCTGAAGAAAGATATTGTCTCGTGGAGGAGTATGATTCGTG